ATTTCACCTCGTTGTGCGCACCGCGGCAGACCCACGGCATTGGCGAACAAGCGAGGACGCTCCGTGTATCCAAGGCAGACCCTGGGGATACAACAATAAATTTATTAGTGCTCCACGAAGCGTGAAGCGGAATGAACTCGGGTATGGCCAATACCCCAAGCGAGACGGCCGACACCGTCTTCACGGAAGGAACGCTGGCGGAAGGATTCTATCAAGATGATAGAGACGTACCGCAGGCGGCAGCACCCACGCCCAATACCTTGCCAACGACAGTCATGCCCATGAACGGGAATGGTCAAGCCAACGGGGGGGTGCAAGAAGAATCGATGGCATTGTCGACACCGATGAACATTGACGCGGTCCCATTGTCCGGTGGTCCCATGATCGTACCAGGAGCGTTGAACGTGCGGCAGCACGGTGGTGTTCCTCATGGAAACTTCAACAATCTTGCTTACGGGGGCGATCGGGCAATTGGACACACAGGACAGTATGTTCCTGCTCTCTCTGCACCGCTGCAACAGATTTCACGCAACGCTCCATTGCCGTTGACGCTGGGCAGCCACCATGGCACGATGTCAATTGTCGAACAACCGCCCCGCCGAACCACCCGTACTTCCTTCCTGTCTTTTCTGGACGGACCGCCGGTGCAGGGGTATCATTGCAAGGGCTCTACCATGGTGCGAATCAAACGGTGAACCACAACGTCCATGTGCATTACCCAACGCCCCATGAAACTTATTCCAACCAACAGCAACAGCTTTTTGCGCTGCAGCAATCAAACATGGGGCTACAGCATCAGACCAATCAATACCAATTGGAGTCGCAACGACGGAGTCAGGAGGAAGCTGCGCTAAGGTTAACGTACCAGACAGCTTTTCAAAATGAACGTCATCTAGAACAGCAACGGATCGAAAATGCTCGCACGCTGGGAAGGCAGCAGCTCGAGCAAACTCGTGCCCAGGAACGGCAAGCCGTTGAGCAGGCCCGGCTACAAGAACAATTGAGCCTACAACAGCAACTGGATCAGACGCATGCGCGGATGAGTGAACAGTATACTGCACAAATGCAGCAAGAGCAAGCGGCTTTGCGGCAAACGATGGAACAAGAATTTCAGCAACGCCTGCGAGAAATGGAGCAAAACTTGGCCCTGGAAAGACAACAATGGGTGAGACAAATTGAACCAAATTCTGCTCCTGTTACCAGCCGTCCGCAAGGAGGACACAACAATGGAGGTGCGCCGCCGGACGAACCGCCTGTGGCACGATC